GCAATTAACTTTTAGGTTTCCCTGGATTTAGTTAACAGCATTATCTATCCAGTTGTTTGGGGGGGGGGAGGGGTACAGAAGACTATTCATTATCACAAATTTTACGAGCTCTCCATAAGAATATTCAGGGCTGCATACATGCAACCCAACAAAAACCATGAATACAAAAACACTTTCCACAGACGTACTTCTAGTTATCAGAATAGTGTATATGTGACATACAAAAATAGTGCCCTATGCATATCAAATTTAACCCTTTGACTGCTTTGGTCATATATACATGTCTTACGAGCAATGTGTTTTGACGTATATAATACATACTCGAAATTCTAGTGGCTTCAAATCAGCAGGAGAAAGCTGTAGGCCACATGTGGAGAGAATGGGTCTGTGTGGTCAGTGTGTGCAGTATAAAAAGAAAAATCCTGCATGCAAGCAGTGCATAATGGGGAAAAAAACTCCACCATATTTGGATTAACACGCCGACTTTGGAGAATGTATTTTTGTATAGTTTTTATGGTAATATTCTCGTTTTCACGTAGTCACATTAGATAGAATGGAAAACATATTATAGAAATGGAGGGATTTGATAGTTTTACTATGAAAATGACCTTGAAATGGAGCTCAAAGTAGGGAAATTGTTTGATTTTGCCAAATGTTCAAGAGCAAACAAAGACATCATGTCCAATAAATGTCCAAAACTACCATTCTAATATGCAGTCATGAATGGGCCTGACATTATTTAACAATTTTTACAATATGCAGTAGTCTCATAACAGTAAATCTCTAGTTTTTTGTTTGAATAAAAATTCAAAAAAAAAAGAAAGCAAGAGTAATATCAGCGGGGGCCCCCTGGAGAACATGATCTAAAGAACAAAGAGAATGGTTATTTTAGAGCCAGGAATGTCTGCATTTGTTCATTCTGGACCCTATTTTGAAATTGGACATATTTTTTAATTTGTGTAGAAACTGGCCAAATCGCCAATTTCTGACCGCTTTTTATTGGGTAGTTGAAATTGGTAAAGGGCAGTTTCTTGTACTCATCGAAAGAACAAATGAAGTTCTAAAGAAATACAATGAGGTTTGATCGACTGAACAACGGAATTAGACCGAAAATAGGCTCAAAGTGGGGTGAAAATCCCAATTTTTTTCCTATTTTTTTTTTTTTCCGTAAATATTGCCGAGGTTGCAACTTCGCAAGAGCGTAAATCTGTAAGTTTTCCATCAAATCTCATACAGTGGACCCCCGAGTTTTTCGGACAGCCTCGACTTTACGTGAAATTCGACCTTCTGGCGAGTTTTTTTTTTGGGAAAAAATACGCCTCGAGTTCGAGAAAAGACCTCGTGTTTCGGCGACCGTCCGGTACCCTCTGCCCGTTCACCCAGCGCACCAAGCCAGCTCCACACATTCAACGCTCAGTGTGCCATTGTTTTTTGTGCTTCAACTGCTAAATAAGTCATCATGGACCCAAGGAAAGCTAGTGCAAGCCCTTTGGTAAATAAAGTTAAACACGATCAGAGGATTCTGACGGGATGGATGGAAAGATTGAGGAGGACCACAGGGAAGAGCAACCACTGACAACTGCAGGAGCTTCAATTTAACAGCATCAGACCACAGCCGAGGAACTTGCTTCAGAGAGAGGAAGAGGGAGGTGGATGAGGTACCTCTCAAAGATTAAGGAGATTTGTGCCATGTGGAATGATTGCAAAGTTTTTGTTGAAAATTATCACCCTGACCAAGCTGAATAAGCCATATCTAGCACATGTATAGTGACATGTGTTGTGTCCCACTTCAAGGAAATCTTAAAGAAACACCAAAAAAGACCTCTTCAGGACAGATATTTTGTGCGACAGGGGTCCAGTGACCCTCAAGTTGTTCCCAAGCATAAAAGAAGAAGGGAAGTAACCCAGATAAGGACATGCTACCTAAAGTCCTAATGGAAGGAGATTCTCCTTCCAACAGAAGTGGTACACTCCTCCTATCCCTCCTCACGTCTCCATCCCCAGAAGTTCTTCAAGTAAAGGTAGGTGTAATGGTTGTTATAAATTTTTTTTAATCATTACAGGAATGCCCCCGCTTTACGGCGTTTCACTTGAACGGCGTTCCGCTAATACGGTCCATTTCAAATTAATGACCAAACTCGCCTATTACGGCTCCCCCCACCTGACTTTCTAATACGGTCACACGCGCCCACCTTGTTTGTTTTACATTCTTTGTGAGCTCAGTAAGTCACTAAGTCTCTCCATTTTGTCCTGAAACTCCAAAATTTCAATTGTTTTTAAAAGTTATTTCATATTTTATATATACTCTGATAATTATACATATGTATACCTGTACTTAAATAACTTACATACAGAGCTGCATGCAGGTACACAATTAAAATCAGTAAGAGTGTACTTATGTCTCCAGACGTCATATTAGTAATGATAATAATAATCATCCGTCTCATTTAAATGTCGTATATTACGTTAAATACACATTTTCCATTACTCCATCTATGATAGTTTTTCCCAAAATTAATAATAAATCACGATACATAACATAAAAAGATGTTAAATACACCCACAATAGAAATAAATAAACAAAATATGAGATGTTGGTAGCAACGACTGCACAAGTGACGCCCATATTAGAAATGAAATAATAATAATAATAATCACCGAGTCCAAATTAAATGTTGTATATTACGTTAATAACACATTTTCATTAATCCATCCATGAAAATTTTTTTCAAAATTATATAATAAACACTAATACATAACATAAAAAGATGATAAATACACCTACATAGAATAAATAAACATAATTATGAGATGTCGTAGCCAGATAAATTGTACAAGTGATGCCAAGAATAACATTTTTCTCTAATCTAACATAAGAGAAAATGTGTTACTGGGGGTAACTGTAGAAATTATTCCTTTTCGCATTTATTTAAGTAAGTTTATTCAGGTATACACAAATACAGTTACATAGATTAATCATACATAACACCATATGTGTAGAGAACCTAGGATAACCCAAAAAAGTCCAGAGTGACTTATTTCCATTGCCCTTCACTCAGACATCCATTTCTCTCAAAATGATGTTACATGAGAATGGGAGTGTCTCTTCTTTATTTTATTCTACCGTATCAATGTAAGACAACCTTACACCAATGTAAACTTGTACACAAAACCAGACGTGTTACACTTCGTTTACAAAACTTACCTTCGCCTGGTTTGTTTACATAACTCTGCGCCTGTCCTCTCTCATCATTCCATTCTTTCTCTCTCTCATTTATTCATTTATCTCATTTAACTTACTCCTGACCCTACGTAAGACTAACAAATATTTTAAGGTAAGTAATGAGTGAACTGTATATACATTTATCGCTCTGGGATGCTTTAAATATCATGGAATATATGTGTGGGTGGGTTGGCCTGGTATGGTAGCCCACTGAACTACCAATACATACCACACATGATTTTTACAATAAATACTACACATCTCTGGTGGCCTGGTGGTTAACGCTCTCGCTTCACACGATGAGGGCCGGGTTCGATTCCCAGCCAGAGTAGAACCATTGGACTGGTTTTCTTTCACCTGTTGTCCCACTATTGTTTTTTCCCATCAGAAAATGGTACCTGGGTTTATTCGACTGTGTGGTCGCATCCTGGACACTGACCTAAGGAGGCCTTGGTCACAGACCGGGCTGCGGGGGCGTTTGACCCCGGAACTCACTCCAGATAACTCCAGATAAATCCACCCTATATTTATAAGGTAAGTAATGAGTGAAACTGTATATACATTTATCGCTCTGGGATGCTTAATATCATAAGAATTGTATGTGGGTGGGGGTTGCCTGGTATGGTAGCCTGGCTGACTACCATAACAACCACACTTGATTTCCTTACAAATAAATACTCTTGTCACACCCTATATTAAGACTATAAATATTTTAAGTAAGTAATGAGTGCACAATGTGTGTATGTACTTTTTAATTGTTTTTTGATGCTGGTTCTAGTGCTAACTTAATATATGTTTAGTGTAAACTTGTTTTCTAATGTTTGTATGCATTTGTAAGTGTAAAAAAAGGGTGTTCCACTTTACGGCGGTAGCCTGGAACCTAACCAGCCGTATAAGTGGGCCTTTCCTGTACATGATTTCTGATTGTTTTTCATATGTAATCTTTATTTAATTGAAAAAAAATATTTTATTTTAAATATTTTTTGTGTCTGGAACGGAATTACTTTTCTTTCCATTATTTCTTATGGGGAAAATGTTTCGCGTTTCGTGAATTTCGACCTTCGGTGGGCTCTCTGGAACGGATTAATCACAAAAACTCGGGGGTTTCACTGTACTTCTGGTGTCATACCATCGTTAAAAGATTCTCTATCATTTTATGAGAAATTTTTTTTTTTTTTCAAATATTTTGTGACACAGGGAGACGCCTCAGGATTTTGGGGTTGCGACAGTCAAAGGGTTAAAAGCCACCTCTCTGTTTTATGGATACAATTTTTACCTAATAAAAAAGGAATAATCAGTAAGTAAAATTGATGGGACAAACAGAATAATGTAATATAATGAAAATCTTCCAAGACTTTTTGCTAAAAGTCTAACTAATTACATACCTACATATCTCATCCATTAAGCAATGAACAGTACAAGCATTTTAAAATCTTAGCTTTATATAATGTGGTATACATATTCAAAACTATGAACAAGATTTCACACACAAGCTGTTTCTAAATTTATTGTGTATCCAAGCTATACTAACTCAATTTTTTTACTATTATACTATAACTTAATGAAATCAATGATATGAAAAAGATTAAGGGGAGGACTAAATTTTTGTAATTAATCAGCCAAAAATTCAAGGTTTCCTCCACTAGAACTTTTGTAACCAAAAAGTAACATCAAAACCGACAAGCATAAAATCCAGTCTTGTTAATAGTAATTTTTCACATAGATTCACATTATTCTTAATATGAGAAGCAAAATTTTTTCTACTTGAGTCCTTGAGTCAATATAATGTAATAACCCTTTTGACAGCTTGATAGCTATTGACCACATGAGGACTAATTTTTAGCCTGTTAGAAGTTACCATATTTATGTCATATGAGAGGGGTTGTATCTCTTGAGATAACTGTTTTGATAAGTGCATCATCACCTTTGAAAAAAATTAATTTCTTATAAAAAAGTATCAGAATCAGTAGTAAATCTCTAAATAAATAAGGTAATCCTACAAGACCTATATTATTCTTCATGAGGTTCTGTAGTATACAAGCATGTAAGTGACAATTTATATATTTTATTAATTTTTAAAAATATTACTTTCTTCTTCAAGTACGTTAAGAACACAAAACATTAGTACAATACTAGAGATATGAAATGAAAATAAAAAAATCTGCAACAGTCCAACTAAACTCTAACCTTTGTGTCCCAATCTTGCTGGACATCCTCTGAAGGATCATGGAAAATGGCTGCTGCTTGCGCTGTAGAAATAAATTCTAAGTGACAGACATGCAGCAAATACAAAAATCATACTGAATACGAAGTGAAGAGCATGCTAGAGTAATATAGTATAATCTTCAAAACATAGAAGAAAAATACATACACCTAAAGTATACACTACAAAGAAACATTCAAAAATACTAAAATGTTGTAAAGTTACAAGAAGTACTTACACATATCTTGCTATCTTCCAGCCAAACCTAAATGCATCATGCAGTGTTGACTTTTTCTGAGGTGGGTGAGGCACAACCTCTCCACGTTTCGTTGATTTCGGGGAGTTTGCTCCCTCTGAACTTTGGTTAAATGGCCATATACAGCTAAAGTGGATTTGGTATTATAATTCCCTCGAAGCAGTAATCCATCAGTCGGAACCAATAATATATTTACTTTCTAGATGTGTGATACAATACTGTAATCCATTAACTTAACTTCTGATATTTTTAATGAAAATCTGATAAACGCACACATGAAAACATAAGGCATTTACTGAACCATAAATACTATGCATAAAACAATAAATTTAACAAAGTACTGAGTAGTTCTTTAATATAAAAAAAATTCTTTGGAAAAAATCAATATGTTTCGTGGCATTATCTGGAAAACCTATGCCCATCTTTGCAAAGTTCAAAAACAGAAATCTGCTTAAGTAGCTGTTTATTTTACTGTACTGTACTTAACCCTTAAACGGTCCCCAAACATATCGACATTCAATTCTTAGTGCTACAAAAGTAGACCTACTTTTTTTTTACATATTTTCAAATATAACAAAAAAAATGTAGATAAAAGTTTTTTTTTACACGTTTTCAACATTAAAACAAACAAAAAAAAGATCTCATTTTTTTACATACTTTCAGATGTTGAAAAAACCTATATATACGTTTGGACCATTTAAGGGTTAATACATGTTATAATTTCCCACTCAAATTTGGTTGGATGAACAAGTAAAGAGACAGTTCATGGCATTCGCTAAATACTTTTCCTGTAAGCAACCACTGACTCTTTGTTGGAACCTCAGGGTAAACATAAGTAAGAGATATTCACCTGTAGCTATATACCTTGATTTTTTAACACCCCTCCCTTATCTCACCACTGATTCTTTAGCCTTTACCAGATATGTGAGGGTGCCTGGTCATTTCTCACCTAAATAACTTAGTTTTTCCTAGAGGAATGTAAGCAAAAATTATTAAACCTTTAAACTGTCCAAACGTAGATCTACGTTTTTTCACATTTGAAAGTATTAAAAAAAAACGTAGAATTTTTTTTTTTTATTTTTTATTTACATTTGAAAACATTAAAAAAACATTGATCTACTTTTTTTTTTATAGTAAATTTGAAAATATGTAAAAAAAATCGAAGATCTACTTTTGGAGCACTACGCATGTAATGTATAATCTGTTCGACAGTTAAGGGTTAAAATGATTACATTGACATTTTCCCTGTAACATATTCCAATATCACAGGAAAATTTTTTGAGTATATTACAGTACTTTTTTAAACTTATTTACAATTATTCTTCAAAATGCTCTATTTGTATAACGTTTACCCATTTTGGTATAAAACAGAAACAATATTATAATATATTTACTTTTTTTTTTTTTTTTTTTTTTTTTATTCGCCGGTATTCTCCTATTTATTTCACATAGACCAGTTTAGAATATATACAGTATACTTTATAGCATGCCCTCATTTCCTGAGAAAGAATAGACGTGTGTGAGCATTTTGGATAGGAGCAAGTGGAGGCAAGTGTTTATGATTTAACATGCTGTTGGAGAGTGATAAAGGTAACATTTATGAAAAGGATTCAGGGAAACCATTTACCAAACTCTAGCCCTAGAGGTGGTAGTAGGTGCCCACTCCGAAGGAGGGTGGGGGATGTTGCAGTGCGAGGGTCATCCGAACTGTGATATCGGCATGATACTGCTAAGACTGTGATTGGATGATGAGTGTTTTTTCTTCTTTGTCAGGGACTCCCTACCACGGTATACAGCCGGAGTATTAAAAACAAAGTTTCTTACTGTATTTTTTTTTTTGTTGTGTAGCAATATTCGATTACTAAAAAATTACACCAAAATCTCAATGTATTTTCAAGATACTAGTGAAAAGAAAGGTCAATACAGAATACAAAATGACCGCAGCAGACGTTCATTATAAATCCATTAACAAGAGGCAAGAACTTCATCTCTGTAAATGAAAGTAAAATCTATAGAATACCTTAATGAAGAGTACATTTAAAATTTCTTTCTTTCTTTTCTTTATATAGTATACTGTATTCATCATGTACAAACCCACTACAATATTATGCTCAAAAAAAATCCCACAATACAGCAACTACAACTGAAGTGCAATGGATATGCTTGAAAGTGATTTAATACTACAAATCAAATTACAAATATCAAATTGTATATCTATGAAAAACAATTTTTCCAAACTACTACAAAACTGCTAAATAACCTAATACCATCGATAGAGTGGAATTGAAATAAGTTACCCAACATGACACTGAATAATAATCATAGTTGTTATCGTCCTAGTTTTTAATATCAATTAAAAGGAAAGTGTAAAAAAAAAGTGAATGCTCAAGTATTTAACCCTTGACTGTCGCGGCCGTATATAAACGTCTTACGAGGTACCATGTTTTGACGTACATATTCTCATAAATTCTAGCGGCTACAAATCAAGCAGAGAAAGCTGGTAGGCTACATGTGAGAGAATGGGTCCAGGTGGTCCCATTCTGCACCATATAAAAAAATCCGAGCACGCAGTGCATAATGAGAAAAAAAAAACACCGACCGTTTTTTTTAAATTAAAATGCCGACTTTGTGGGTCTATTTTCATATAGTATTTATGGTTGTATTCTCTTTTCTTGGTCTCCTTTGATAGAATGGAAAAAATAATATAGATTTAGATTGATTTTACCATAAAAGAACCGGAAATGGAGCACAAAGTACGGGAAATGATTGAGTTTTTTGCCGATGTTCAAAAGTAAACAAATGATGTCATCATCCAATAAATTCCAACTAGCCATTCTAATATGCAGTCATGAATGGGTTCGATGTAAATTTTTACAATTATTACAGTATTGCAGTATTCTGCATAACATAATACCTTCTATTTTTTGTTTGAATAAAATTTTCAAAATAAAAAAGCAAGAGCAATATCAAGTGCCTGGAACATGACTGATGAACCAAAGAAAATGTTATTTTTAGAGCCAGGAATTCTGCATTGTTTTCATTCTGGTCCCTTATTTTGAAATCTTGTCATATTTTTTTAATTTTCGTGAAATTGGTCAAATTGCAAAATTTTCTGACCATGTTATGGGTAGTTGAAATCGGTAAAATTGGCTTTTCTTTGTACTCAATTGATAGAAAAAATGGAGTTCTGAGAAAAGCTATGATTTGGTTGACTGGAATAAATGGAATTAGCCGAAAAAGTGCTCAAAGTGGCGAAATCGCCGATTTGTATAATATCGCCGAGGTCGCTAACTTCGCAAAGGGAAAGGAAAAAAAGGGGAAAAAAAAAGGAAAAGTAGAAGAGGGAAAGAGAGCGTATTCCGTCAGGTTTCCATCAAATTTTCGTTTGGGGGGGGGGGGGGCTTTTACAATTGGAAAAGATTCTCTATCATTTCATAAAAAAAATAAATTTTTTTTAAATTTTGCGACGCCAAGAAACAACCTCAGGATTGGGGGTTTTGCGACAGTCAAGGGGTTCAAGTGTGGGCCTTAACCCTTAAGTTGTTCCAAACGTTAGATCTACGTTTTTTCAACATTTGAAAGTATGGTAAAAAAAACGTATTTCTTCTTTTGTTGTTTTTTACATTTGAAACGTGTAAAAAAACTTTGATCTACGTTTTTTTTTTTGTTTATATTTTGAAAATATGTAATAAAATTTAGATCTACTTTGGAGCACTACTCATGTGAACATAGATCTGTTTTGGACAGTTTAAAGGGTTAAAAGATAAAAATTTAATTCTTGTTTCAGTCCACATTGCTATTTGAGTAATACAGCACTTTAAGTTAATCAGAAAGCTGAATGAAAGTAAAGAAGGGAAATGCAAAAGAAGGACAGCTGAAAGTGAATACTGAGAAAGAACAAGGAGAGGAGATTCGATGAAGGTAATACTACATTTTGTTAACACATCACCTATCTCTTCCCATGGCAGAGCAAGCCCAAAGGGGAATCCATTTACTATCACTCTTTCAGAGTACAGTGACCCCGCTTTACGATCAGCTCCGCAATCGACCAATTATTAAGTTGTATATATGTAAGTGTGTTTGTACGTGTATGTTTTGGGGGTCTGAAATGGAACTAAATCTAATTCACAATTTCCTTATGGGAACAAATTCGTTCAGTAAAATGGCACCTGAACATACTTCTGGAAAGAAATAATATCGTAAGGCGGGGATCCACTGTACATGCACTGTGCTTCCACCTCCAATTGAAGTTTCAGCAATAATAATATATGAAACAAAAAATCAAGGTTAAACTAGAAGTAATGAAAGAAAGAAATTGTACAATATGGTTCTTTACCTAACTATTAGATATTTAGAGAGTCAATGCAAAAAAAGAAAATTCAGAACAGTAATAGAATATCAAAGTACTGTACAGTGGTACCATTTCTTTGGTATAGGTGTTGCAAAAAGGAGTTAGAGCAGTGAAAATGTCTTTGGCCACAATCAATATGGTGTAAGGGTGATATGAAATGCATAATTAAACTAACATAAGAGGGGCTCTTGGGTACTTTTAGTTATTAAGAAATGGTGATAAAAATTAAGATGGTGTATAAATCTTAGGTGAAAGGGGGATATAGGTTATATCTGGTTAAGGACTGGAATGGAAGGGTGCACAATGAGGTACTCATGTCACATAGATTAGAGGCTTGAGCAACCAGCATGTTACATCAGAATGACTGAGGTAAATAGTCTCAGGATTTTTAGCATGATGCTGACTGTGATAATGTAATACTTTTAATATTGTATATAAAGTGCTGTTTTCTTTTCTGTCTCATAAACACGCTAGATAACAGGGATATCTTGCTACTCCTACTTACACTTTGGTCACACTTCAACAGACACCCCACATGCAATATAATACATACATCTACGTTTTTCTCCTTTTTCTAACATAGCCTGTTCCTCTTTATTTTCTTCTATATTGGATCCAGGGGTAGTGGAAAAGAATCTTTCCTCCGAAAGCCATGCGTTCGTAGGAGGCGACTAAAATGCCGGGAGCAATGGCTAGTAACCCCTCTCCTTGTAGACATTTTACTAAAAAAGAGAGAAGAAAAACTTTTATAACACTGGGAATGCTTAAATGTGCTTGGATGTAAGTGCGTGATAAGAAACAGATGATGCTAGGTTTATGAATGAAAAG